CATCATCATCATCATCCCCATCACCATCACCATCACCATCATCATCATCAGCAGCATCAGCATCACCATCACCATCACCATCACCATCACCACCACCACCACCGCCACCACCACCACCACCGCCACCACCACCACCGCCACCACCACACCACCATCGCAATCTTCTTCGTCATCATTCTTCAAAAACGCCTTCTTCTTCTTCTTCATCATCATCGTCATCATCAGTTATCGGCTGGTTGCTAAGCAAATTCTCGCAGCGGCAGGGCGAGAAAAGCTTTCGGACTGCACTGTTAGTGACAACGGGCACGACATCTCCGCAGAGGTACTTCTTCCATCACAACGAGGACTACATCTCCTTGGCACACGGGAACATGAACGTGGACAATGCGTCTCGACTGTCCCCCAAAAAAGTCACAAGTTCTCTCTTCATATACTTTTTCATACCATCTCCAGCAACAGATGCATTGACACCACCACTACCAGCAGCAGTAGCAGCAGCAGCAGCAGCAGCAGCAGCAGCAGCAGCAGCAGCAGCAGCAGCAGCAGCAGGAGGAGCAGGAGGAGCAGGAGCAGCAGCAGCAGCAGCAGGAGCAGTAGGAGCAGCAGCAGGAGCTGCAGGAGCTGCAGGAGCAGTAGGAGCAGCCGGAGCAGCAGCAGCAGCAGCAGCAGCAGCAGCAGCAGCAGCAGCAGCAGCAGCAACAGCAACAGGAAGAGCGCCTCCAACAGTCCGTGAGTCTTCATCCCAAGTATCCTGAACCAAAAAGGTACAGCACCACAACCCTCCCAACGACAGGCCTACTTCTGGCGGAATGAAGCGGGTGCAGCTTGGTTCAAAAAGCAGCAGCAGTAGCAGCAGCAGTAGCAGACTAGTCAGTAGTCGTCGTAGTTGCAGAGGCAGCAGCAACACAGAGGTAGACCTTTGTGTTTGAGTAGGTTGAGAGCATTGCCCGGTTTGCAAGGCGGGAATCGATTGCGTCAGGGCCTTCTGTGGTGAACGAAGGGTTGCCGGGAATTGGAGTGGGGCACGGTGCTCTGATTCGCACGTGCAAGGCATCTGATCATGGTTACCTTGCTTTGCACAGCATTTTGGGGTGGTTGTCAGGGCGCAGACTGTTACGCCTAGCCAATAATCATCTAACAATAATCATTGTTCGGTCGGCATGGCTGCAATCTCCGAGAAGGTTTTCTGCTAGCCGGAGTATTCCGTTAGATGTGATGCTCTATTATGTGGCTTGGGGTGATGCCTGTTGATAGGCTGAAGAAAAGTTCTGCTCCTGGATGTATCCCCAAACCCTCAAACCTAAACCCTAAACCCAAACCCCAATCCCTAAACCCAAACCCTAAACCCTAAACTCTAAAAGCAAGCTCTAAACCCTGAGCTCTCCAACCCTTAAATGCTCAGGAGCTGGAGCTGGGAGTGTTTGACTGGGGCGGCATGGGGGCGCGAAGCTTAGGCCCGGGCGTAGACCTCATGCATCCGAGGAGTTGGGGGCTTCGGAAAATAATGGGTACTTTATTTGGGGTCCCCTATTTTCAGAAACCCAAATTTAGTTAGGGGTTTCAGGATTTGTTTTTAGGGTTTAGGGTACAGGCATTGGGTAAAAGGTTCAGGGTTTTGGGTTTTGGGTTGTGTTTAGGGTTTTCGCGATGTCTTCCGCTTTTTCGTTTGCTCGAGGTTTCAAGGCCGATGCCCCCAAAGCCGAAAGTCCAACACGTTGATCCGCAGCACGGCCCTGCCTCAAGACCCAAAGCCGAAACACTATGTCAGTAATGTAGGGGCCTTAATAATTAGAATAGGGTTTTGGGGTGTATATATATATATATATATATACTATAATCACTATAATTCTAATAAGGAGCCCCCAGAACCCTATTCTAATTATTAAGGCCGATACATTAACCCGAAATGCCCTGGTCCCTAAATTTAGAATCTTAGACCCGAGAGCCCACACATGAACAGATCCTAATCCTGCACCCTCCGTCCTAAGCCCTGAAGCCTGAACGAAGACTCCAAGCACGATGCCTTGAACCCGAAACCCAAACTCTATACCCTGAGCCCTAAACC